AGATTTAGAGAGTAAATAAAAGGTTCTAAATTAGAGTTGATTTTCAGTATTAAAATAGAACCAAATGACGATTTAGTACCCAAAATTGGTACTAAATTAGTACCTTTCTTTTTACAGTGTCAATAACTTATGCGAGAATATTATTATAAAACATGAAGAAATTTAAGATGACAGAGTGATAAAACCATTATTTTATATCATAAGAATATTGTAACTATATAATACATTCAAATTTTCAAAGATTTTAATTTGGACCCTTTTCAAACTTCAATTATTTCTAAAAATTCACATAATAACTCTTCTAATATTCAATTATTATCTAAAATTTTACCAGAAATTTATTAATTATTACAAAATTTTTCGAGAATTCAATTTTTTATATACAAAAATAAACAATTTATTCAATAATTGAATATTTCTTAAAATTGAATTTTTATTAAAAATTTTATCAAAATTTTTAAAAATAATTAAATTTTTCCGGTGAATTTAAAAAAAAATTTAAGAATAAATGCAATTTTCTATCATTATATCCAAAATTGCATAAAAAATAATTAAAATTCCACGATAAGTTTTGTTATTTATAAAAATAATTTAATTCTTGTTTGGAATTTTATTAAAAAAATTTTTAAAGAATTGAATTTCTGTAAAAAAATTTTTTTTCAAAAATAATTGAATTTCGGGGAAAATATTATTATTCATGAAAATAATTAATTTCTTGTGAAGAATTTTATTCAAATTTTTTTAAATAATTGTATTTCCCAGAATTTTTTAAAGCTTTTTGAAAATAATAAAATTTCATTAAAAAATTGAAATTAATTGAAATCTGACAAAGAATAAAAAAAATGCTTTTTCAAATAATTAAATTCCTGTGAAAATGGTTATCTTTGAAACGAATTGAATTTTTTTGAAGATTATTACAAACATTTTTAACAATAATTGTATTCCTATGAAGAATGTTATATTTTACAAAAATAATTTTATTCTACGACCAATTTTATTGTAATTTTTCAAATTTATAAAGCATTTTATCAACATTTTTTTAAAATAATTTATTTCTCAAGGAAAATTTTATTATTTATAAAAAATTAATTTATTTCTAGCAAAGAATTTTATTCAAATTTTTTATAAATAATTGAATTCCAATAAAAAATGTATTATTTGTGAAAATAATTGAATTCTCAAGAAGAATTTTATTGAAAATAATTGAATTGTATAGGAAAATTTTTATTAAAATTGCATAGTTGTTAACTACACCTTGTAAATAATTTTGTCAAAATTGTTTTAAATAATAGACTTTTGAAAGAATTTTATTTAAATTTTTCAAAACAATTGAATTTCTCAGAATTATTTTTTTCAATTCTCTGAATACAATTGAATTCTTTGGAGAAACTTCATTAAAAAATTAAAAATTATTAAATTGTTGTGAAGAAATATATAAAAAATTGGTATGTATTTGAATTCCTGCGTGTAATTTTTATTGAAATTTTGTTTAAATAATAGAATTCTTTTGTAAAATTCTATTAAAATAGTAGATATTATAAATAATTGAAATGAGGAACATCTTTTAATATAATTGAAATTTTGCCAAAAATTTTATTAAATTTTTTGAAACTAATTGAATTTCGGAGAAGAATTTTATTATTTATAAAGATAATTGAAATTTTGCCGAGAGTTTTAACTAATTTTTGAACATAATTCATCACTTTTGAAAATAATTGAATTTTTGTAATCAGTTGTTATTAAAATTTCTATTTAAATTTATTAAAAATGGATATTTCCTAAAATTTCAAATTTAATCCTTTGAAGTTCGTCTATTTATAAAGATTGTAAACGCAACTCTTTTGAAATCCAATTAATTTAGAAATTTTTAAGTGAAATTATTTATTAAATGATTTAAAATCTGAATTAGTGCGGATTCGTTTATCAATTTGAATTAGTAACATTTTTTACTAATTTTAAGTAGTTTTTTTTACTAATTGATAGTAGAAAATTACTAATTCAATTAGTAGAACGTATTTTTTACTATTTCAAATTAGTAAATTTTCTACTAATAATTAGTAAAAAACTACTAAAAATTAGTAAAAACAGTTACTAATTCAATTGGTAAACGAATCCGCACTATTTTATCAGTAGAATAGTAATATTTAAGTAATGAAACAATTACTAATAACTTATTATTACTTTAATTTACGTTTAGTTTTCGTTAAAGTAAATTAAATTTTTTGTAATTAGCTCAATTAGAAAAATTTAACTATATTACTGCAGTTATTTGTTTACCTAAAAATTAGTCATTTACTACTAGTAATTAGTTATTTTTTACCAATTGCTAAATCAAAAAGTCAACGATGATTTTACCAATAATTAGTTATTTTTAACTAATTCAGATCTAAAAAATACTACTCTCTAAATTTGAATTAGTTAAAAATGTTTACTAATTTAAATTAGTGACGCAGAGTTTTCGCTTTTGAATTAGTAAAGTTTACTTATAATTTATAAATAAGTATAGAAATTACTATTAGTAAAATTTACTAATTAAAAAGCAAAGAGTCAGTCACTAATTGAAATTAGTAAACTTTGTTATTAATTCAAAATTAGAGAGTAGTAAAATATCTATCTGATTAAAATTTAGGTGAAATAAATGTGTAAAGAAACGTTTAAAATTTGCGAGTAAATTAAATTTAATTTCACTGAATTTATAGTTAATAAAAAATAAAAATGAATTAAAATTTAATGTTAATTTAAGATTTAAAGTGAATTAAATATATTTTTCTATACTCAATTCCGAGCCAATTGAAATTTGAACTGACGATTTAAAAATAAGATTTAATAATTTAATTATATTATTATAAAAAATATTACCAATAATAATACAATATTATATGTAATAATAGTAATTTATAGTAATATTAATAATTAATAATAATATAATCATAATAATGATAGTAATATTTATAATAATAATTACTGTTATTATTTTTAATTACATTTATTATTTTTTTATTACTTTATTATTATTAACTTTATTTAAAATTATTTATTATTATTAATTTATATTAATTTTAATAATGTTATTTAATTATTAAATAATCTCTAATTAACAATTAAAATAGATATTTATTTCATAATAATAATAGTAATATTAATTGTGATTATTATTGTTGATTAGAATACAGATAAGCCGCAGTAGAACTTTTGGTTTATCAAATATATTTATATATATTAAGACTGCATAAATTATTATCAGTGCGATAATTAGATCCAGAAATGTATATCTACTGTGAATTTCCATTGACTATTAATTGGATTTTACTGAGTCAATGAATCATCAGCGGTTAGTTTTGCAAAATACGTATATGCAAATGTCATTGAAAGTTCAATGATCAGAGAAAATAATGCAAACAGTAAAATTTTCTTTTTTAAAACCACACAGAATGAAAATTCATTAATGTAATCATTTTATAGGTCATAATGTTGTTATTAAATTTTCATAATGTTTCCAAGTAAATGCACTTTTATTTCTGCAAATAAATGCAGCATTTGTTTTCAAATTAAATGACAAGATTTTTTTTAACTGAAACATATTTTACTTTCTAATCTGAATTATTCCAATAAAAAATATTTTTTTTTCGTAAAATATTATATTTTAATAATTATATTTATTGTATTTTATCATTAATTTTTAATTTTAATTAAATTATAGATTTTTGATTTTAATTAAATTATTAATTTGTAATTTTAATGAACTTTGATTAAATTATTTCATTTTAATTCTAATTTAATTAATTAATAATAGAATACAATTTTTTACATTTAACGTATTTTAATAAAAATATAATAATTATATGGGTATTATTTATTTGAAAGAATTTGTTGAATTTATTTTTTAGGTTATGTTAACTAAGTGGAAAAAATAGACAATTACATTTATGAAATCGTCCAATTCGGTTTCAATTAATAATAAAACTAATTTTCCCATTTTTTGGTTAATTTCCTAACCAAATAGTTAGGTTAGGTTAGTTAATTAAATCTTGTCGATAACAAAAAATTAATGCATTGTCGTTAATTATCAATCAATATTAATTTCCCCCCTCCCCTTGGAATAATTTAGATTATGCAAATTTAATCGAGGTAACAAAGAACGAAAATTCACTGCAGTATTATTACTGATTTTCGTGTATATATTTTGTTTTACGCAACAATGCCCCGTGTTTAATCAAACACCGCATAAAACTTTGCCGGAAACAAAATACTATCACGAAAATCTGCAACAATAGCAGATGATCTCATTTCCCCATGTTGAACAATAGAATTTTGTCAAGACGCATTTCTCTGCAAATCGAAAAACTTTTTGTTTCAGCTAAAAAAACGACGAGTCAAAGTTTCTTATTGTTATCGATAAATCATGAGCATTCAAAAGAAAAAAAAACAGTTCGAAAAGTTCATTAATATGCATGGGGGTTATGTTTATACATAATTATGGAATCTTACTTGCACACTGTGTTTGAGATGAAAGAATAAATACCGTCTTTTTATCCACTTTGTATCCTTGATGACGCGAAATTTTCCATCCAAAGTGATCGATTTTCCTCACGAAGTCGAAAAATTTCTGCAAAAGTCTAAACAAGCAAGTAAAACTGTATCAATAGTTGACAAATTTCACTGTGGTGACAATTTTTTATTTGGACGAGTCCATTATTGTGATTAGAAAATTTGGCAATACTTACAATTTATCGTATTTCGATTTTGTTTATCGATTTTCCGAAGAATCCTCCAACTTGAATCCATTAATAAAAGTTACTTTGACTATTTAAATGAAAACACTGACTCGATTAGCATTAACTGACAACATGTAATTATCATTGAAAATTGTATCGATTTTTTAACATTTTTCCCAAAAATACGTTGAACCGGTGTAATATAGATGGGAATATGGGAATACAGGGCGGGGCATCAGTGGCGCCACAGTGGCGAAGCGGAGAATTACGAAGCCGGCGCGTAGTCGCTGAGTGCCGCAGTCGCGCGCTTGCACTCTCAGCGGTAAGTGGTAGTTGTACGCATTTGATTTTATTTGTTCGTTACATCGCATACCTGCTCGGTGCATACTATCAATCAATTTGAATGGCTGATTGAAAAGCCATTCCAAATACATCGAGAGAAAACTTTAATGCCGCGTCCACTACAAGGACCGGACAAGAATAAATTGTTCACTTGAAATTTGTCGTGTATTTCTTGACTCGTGTTAAAACCAAACCGCAGTCTTTGTGGAATATATATGTATGTATTATTGATAAAAAAAAAATCAAGAGAGCAGTGCCGTGCACGTGTATAAAAGTGTACTTCATTAGTGCTACGTCACCATAGGATTTTTCACTTAATTACGGACAGTGACACTAATCATCTGGAATATCACAAAGCGACGCGTATTATGTAAGTACATAACCTCAAAAAGTCACTTTCTTATATATACATTGTATGTCTCTCGACAGTTGACAAAAATGGCTGAACAATTTTTATGTTACGAGGTATTATTGTCGTATGAACGTTTAAAGAATTGTGTCATTGTTTATTTGAATCAGCTTTTTTTCTCTCTTGTTTGTTTACGTTTGTGACAGAGTGAAGTGGGTAGGTCATATTCGCAACAATGCGATTTCGTAAGGACAGGGCAGGGTTCGTAATCTGGATCAAATTCCCGGGAAGTAGTTCGCATGTCGTGTGTATACTTTATTTAGATATCTTTCAAACGGGTAGATAAAGTTTTTTTTTTTTATTTAATTACTTGCTTGGTAGCTTAATAATGTGAAAATAGTTGCATTAATCCCGGACTTTTTTGTGATTAATTGTCGATGTAGCGGTGCATTTGCAAGGTATGTTTTTCTATTCTTTTTATCAACATTTTCACTCTCTTGCCTTTAGTTTCCTTTTTGTTTCACAAACCAGTGGCTTATATATTGCACTCTTGTGTTGTGAACAAGAACATTAGGAAAATTCTCCGAATTGGGAAATTTGAGGTTAGAAAATTGTCAACGGGAATTTTTTTTTGTAGAAGTTTAAAAACAATTACGATTTTTTTATTGACATGAAATGTGGAAAGTGAAAATAATTCGTACTTTAGAATGTTAATTCTTTTTCTAAATATTGTTAATAATTATTGTAATGTAATTATTGTAATTATTGATGTATTTATTATAGGAATTAATTTATTTTCCTCCTGAAAATTGAATTTTTTTTTTTTGTAAAATTGACAGAAATATCAACTGTGGGAGAATTTCGTGCCCTGTCATCGATTTTAAATTGAAAAAAAGACGTAAAAGTATGCGGTTTTTTTTCCCTCTAAAAAGATATATTCTTTGAAATCGGGTAATCTTACTTAGAAAACGATTCTCAATGTTTTCGGACTGATTCTTGTGAGACATAGAGTTCAAGTTCAATGACGCCGACACCCAATCGGGACCCGAGTGTTCTCGCCTCTAAAAGCAAGATGGCCTTGAATCACACTCCCACTACTGAAAATAATTTGTTTCACCAGAATGATAATCGTCTTCAATCAATTGAACTTTTTTTTTAGTCAATTATAACTTTATTACTTGGTTTTTTTTTCTTTTCTTTGGCAAAAATTTTTCACAACCAGTATCAGTGCGCAATTTTTCCACCGCAGAGAATTCAAAAATAAAAATTTTTTTTTCTCTTTCACGTGAAATATTATTTTTAATACAAAATTTTATTATTATTTATAATTTTCTCTTTGGTTTATATCGAAAAGTTTTCTCCAAGAAAGAAATCGATTGCGATCGCGTGTGTCCTCGTTGCGTCTCGTTGAGCTTGCGGCGATTTCAAGGCGTTTCTTATGTGGGAAAAGAAGCAAAAATAATCTCATTATTTGATGCAAACGCCATTTTTTTTAACATTTACAACAAAAGACAGGAAAATTATTTTGATTATATACCAATGTTGTTGTATTTTTTTGCAGAGAAAAGGAATTTTTTTTCTATTTTTTATTCACGGTTATATATTTTGTATAAGCGGGGAAACATTTTAAACACGATAAATGTAATTCAATTTATTAAAAAAGCCAGAAATGCAATTATTCGACATAATTTTATATTTTGTATGAAAAGATTACTTGACATTTCGCGGAAAATGAGTAAACTGCCATGCAGCATTATTTCTTTTTTATATTTAAAATAAATTCTTTTAAGATTATAGTTCTCCATTTTATTTGTCATTTCTTGTTTGAGATACATATTTCTTTTTGAGAATTTTGAAAGAATATTTATAACAATTTGAAAAAGTGATTATAATAGTAATTAAGAGAATATTAAATTAAATAATTCATAATAATAATTTATTAATAATTATTAATTATGTAATTAATTATAATTTTATTATTATCAATAATGTATGTCAATTATTGATAATAACTAATAAGTAATTAATAGTAATTAATAATTAATTAACAATAAATATTAATTAATATAAATATAATTATATTAAAATATAAATTTTATTTATTAAGAATATAATAAATAAATTTAAAAGAATATTCATAATTATGTGACTTTATATGTATTTGGGAAATTTTTTTCTTTTTGAAGGTCGTTGGTAATTATTTTTCACTAAAGAATCGTGCGATAAAGACTCCACTTTTACCGGCGTCCTCGGGCAACTTAAAAAAACTTGTTTGCGATAAAACTGTGAATCGGGGACAGTAGTTGTTGCAAGTGTATATGACACTCGTTTGTCTTCTTTCAGTCCTAGAAAATCCAGTCAGGCAATTAAACTCTATATTTGATTTTTAGAACACAATTTTATTCTTTCATTTCCCTACATCTTTTATGTACAAAAATTGGCATTTCTTCTCGATTTCTTTATAGAGTAAAATTATGTTTGCATTATAATTAATTATGATTTTATTATGTTTATTAATATACTAATAATAATAATAATAATAATAATAATAATAATAATAATAATAATAATAATAATATAATTTTTAAAAAAGCAGATAAATTAGAAAGTAATTATTTATAAATTTGAAAATAATTATTAACGAATTTAAAAATAATAATTTGCAAATTTTAAAATAATTATTTACAAAATTTGATACAAATAATAATAAAATATTATTAGACAGATGAAACTGTTGTCCTCTTTTAATTGAAAGAAAAGAAAAAGAAATTTAACTCATTTTATCAATTGAAATTTTAGTATATATGAAGTCGATTCTATTCTTGACTGGATAAAAACGCTAACTTGGCCGACCTTGAACTTTACGATATGCGCTGTGTGAGCGACAAACGATTTTAGATTCGTGGATTATATTTCGAATGTATATGCAAGGGTTAATGTATTTTATTATTATTATTATTTTAGTATTACTGACAGATAACAATGGTGCATTTGTTATTTAATTAACGTTTTTCTTTTATGCAATGAGAAAATAAGTAAATTTTCTTTCAGATGCAATTTTCAATTTCGAAATTATTAAATTAAATTACTATTTAATAATAAATATGATAATGAATACATAATAGTAATTGAAGTTGGATTATTATTCAATTAACTTGTTATTAAATAGTAAATAATAATAATAATAATAATAATAAAAATAATAATAATGGTAGTCATTAATTATTTTGTAATTAATAATTTATTTAATGATTTTTTATTTTGTAATTAATATTTAATTAAATTTTTAATAAATAGTAAATAATACTAAGGGGCCGTCCATAAACTACGTCACGCCTTAGAGGGGGGGGGGGAATTCATTTTTTGTGACGTTCTGTAGAAAAAATGGCGCTAAAGCATGTAAAATTTGTGACGTGGGTAGGGGGGGGGGGAATTATGCAAAATTGTGTGACGTAGTTTGTGAATGGCCCCTAATAAATAGTAATAATAATAATAACAAAACAAAATTATTTTGTAATAAAAAGGCCTAACTACAAAATTTGATTAGAAAATAATTAAAAAAGTGGTTTTAATAAAAAGCGAATAAATATATAAATTTAAGTTTCAATTGAAATAATTTGTTAAATTAAAGTAATTAATGACAAAATAAGATTTAATGCTACAAAATTAATATTTTTATTATTATTATTATTATAATTATTATTTTATTAATGCAATTTAAAACTAAAACATTTTTGAATTCCATCCATTAAAATCAGACAAATTAAAGAAAGTTGTTATTTGTTTTGGAAGATTTGGGACTAAATTAAAAAAAAACAGTCGTCGACCTTCTTGTTAATAGACGATGCATATTCTATTTATGTTGCTGACAAATTTCGAAAAGTCACTGTACTTGGGATGCAGTACATATAGTCGTTTAAGAGAGGATACTCGAATTTCTTGGCAAAGAAGCATCTTTTGGTTTTCAAAGCGTCTTAAACTTTCTGTCTGTCTGTCTCTCTTTCTCTCTCTCTCCCTCTTTTTCTCTCTTTCTTTTTCTCTCTCATAGAGAGCAAGTCTTTCTGCTTTGACATTTTCTATCTGCATTCGTATACTCTCTTATCCTTTCTAGCGCAAAGCAGCGAATCAGAAGCAGCACGTGCTTTTCACGAATTGCCTTTGGCTCGCAGACAAATTCAAAATTTATTTATACACGAAATTTTGCGGAAATTTAGCTTCAACAGTGATGATGATGATGATAATAGCTGTCCAGTTTTCTCGGCTATATTCCTCAAAGTGTGTATACATCATTATATATCTAAACCATCTGTATAAAACGACAGGAAAATATCTGGGTCACTTTGTACTCTACTCTCTCCTTTTTTGTATTTGAGAAATTTTTTTTTATTGACGCATATTCTCGTGGAGTAAAATTGCATTTTTTAAGATTTGCCGTAAGGAAATAAATAAGAAATGAAAAGAATTTTGAATATATTTCCTCTATTTATTTGCTTGAATTGTAAAGGCAAAAACTATTCCAAATTCTATCTGTAAAATTATATTATTCAGTTTGTGAAAATTTAAAAAGAAATTGTTTTAAATTATTAAACGAGAGATTATAAAATATTTTTTAAACAAAAATTTATGTAAATTTAAAAATAGAAAAATTTGTGAAATATTGACTATAAACATTGTGAACTTCAACGTTATTAATTATATAATTAATTATCACTAAATTGAGTAATTCCGAGAAAATTATCTATTTTATTTAGAGTTCAAATAAATTTGAAAATTTAGTAATTTTATTACGCAATTCGTAAAAATTTAATTAGCAAAATAAAATATTTATTTAAATTTTGAAAAGACAATTTTGAAATTTATTCAAAAAACAAAATTAATTCGTATATAGAATTTGGAACTTTTATCCCTATTTTTTTGGGGAATAATTATCGAGCTTCATTACAGATAAAAAATGAAATAAAAAAATATAATGAAGTTTTAGTATACATAAATTTTTTCAACATAATTTTTTTTTTCATTTA